TGGGTTACCCCGGTCCAATTTAAAAAAAAAAAAAGGGGGGGGGGGGGGGGAATTTGAGGTCCGGCGCCTTTCTCCCCCTGAGGGCCTCGAGGGAAAGCCGCGGAACCGCGGTGTGAGCGGCGGAGGAGCGTTCGCTCCCCCCTCTAAAAGAAGGGGAAGGATCCCGCCAAACCGAGTTCGCTCCGGGAAGGCAGGAGTGTTGCAGCTGGAAGGCGGCGAGACCCTGCTCTGAATCCATTCCACCCCCCCGAAGCGTATGGGGCTTTGTCTCCGGCCCTAGGGCTCGGGTCGTGGCGGCAGTGGGAGGTCCGGGGGCTTTTGAAGCGAAGACGTCGGTCTCTTGCTGCTGTGCTGGCCGAGTCTTCTTATCCTGGGTGCAAAGATGGTGAATGCAGTAGTGATTGCCTTTCTCTAAGCAGTCAAGCCGAGGGGGATCCCAGATCGATGTGTTTGCTGTTCCTAGAGACCACCTTTTGAAAACGGCCAGTGGCAATATTAAAAAATAAACAGCAAAGGGATTGCGGGAGATTGTTTTAAATATTCTTTTTTTTTTCCCCTCCCCTTTGTTTGTAAGGAAGGGCATTATCCCTTCTCCATTGCGCTGAGTGGAGTCTTGCCCTTGGCAGTGATGAGAGCAGGACCCTTTGGGTTACCGTTAAGATCTGTCTGGGGTCCCATCTACCGTGACGTTGTGGAACTTGGCTCTAAGCCCTTCCTCTTCCACAAAAAAAAATAATCCAGAAACTAGGCTTTCTGTTTAAAACTAAGAAAACTTTTAAAGTATATAACCAAGTGTGAAATAGCAGCAGAGACTTTGTATGAAGACTGAAAAAATTCCAGGGTGAGTTGGGACTTGCCTTGTATCCAGCTTATAGGTTACTAACTCTGCAATTCATTATTGATCACTCTCGGACTGGTTTCAACAGAAACTTCCACACTGCAATTTTTCTCCTGCAGTCCTAATTTGCTTCCAGCATGTTGCTGGTTGCCAAAACCCCTAACTACCAGAAGCTTTACACCATCCTGATTTTTTTTATTATGTGCTTTTTTTAGTAGAAAATAATTAAAGAAAATGCTCATGCAATTTTCTAATAAATTTAACATTCACTTAATGGCTTGAGCACTGAGGGACTATAATTATTTTTTCTGCTAAAGAAAATTAATTTTCTCAGCAGCACTAGAAATATGAGACAATAAGGACAGCTTTTATGAAGAGTATTATTTATTAAACTAACTGTTCTTTTTTAAAAAAAGGCATTTGTTTTTACTTCAGCTAACTCTGTGAGGGCTTGCCAGAAGGCTCTGGTATAATACAAGTTTGCTCCCATAGAGCTGAAGCCAAGCTTGCTAAACTATGCTTATTTTGGGGGAGCAGTTAAGTGATTCTTGCCCTTGTTTTTCATCCTCATGTATCACATGCTTCTGTCCACTGGAAGAAAAGAACATGTTAGCTTAGCTTTGAAAGTTTTCCTGTGCATGTGTAGGAAATAGCTTGATACTGATGTTGCATAGGGTGCAAATTTTTATGTTCTATCCCTATAATGCAGAGTTATTGGGGGGGGGGGAACCTGTATTTTTTTATTTTGCTTTCTGTCAGCATTTTTTAAATTTGCTAATATTATATGGTCTTTCCACTGCATTTCCTATTTGTATGCTCTAGCATGCTGATAGGTCATGATTTAATCAGTATAGTTCCTTTGTGTGAAGTACTGCAGTTCGGTACTACCACGGCAAGACAGGAGACGAGAGCAGCTGAAATATTAAGTCCACTCACATAAGCCCCACTGCTGCTTGAAAGGAATCTCCAAACCAGCCCCAGAAACAGTATCAATAGATTCTTCACTAGTGTTTGTTCATATTTTTGTTTGTGGCTTAGCCTGCAAAGACAATGAATTCATGCAGTTGTCCGAAAGTCTTTTGTCCGAAGATTTGTCTTTGCATAGATTTACGTTTGCTTTTTTTTGGTGTGAGGTTGTTTGAAACCTACTTCTCTATTCTATCTTTTGTTTTAGTGCAGGGATTTCATAAAGTGATAGTTATGTAACAACAGAAAAACATCTAGAAAAATGTTAGATTTATTTCTTTAACAAATCCCATGTGTGCAATTCAAAATGTCTTTGTCTTCAACTGCACAATGTGAGGCATGAGCAATTGTGTGTATCATATCTGAGTACTGTGACTGAGTGATGCTACACATTGTTCATTACTACTAATTTGTCTTCTGATGTAAAAAAAAAAAGGACAAAACCCCCTTTTGTTACTTTTTTCCCCCTGCATTCTAGATCTACTGCGATTCCAATGGAACAAGTCCAACACCTTCAAACAATTCTTCAGCAAGTTCCACTTCTCTGTCAGTTGTCACAAGTTCAGTGAACAATACGACCCCTCAGGGACATGGAAATTCCCTTCACTCAACCACAAGTCTTCTTTTCATTCTCTTAGTTTCTCTTCTGTATCTTTGCTGTTAAGAGACTCTGGCATGGAAATGGCTACCACTCCCCACCCAGTTTCCTGAACCATCTGAGATGGCTAGATCTCTGACCCAGCATGAAAATAAATCAGTCCAAACTCTGCATCAAACCAGCTTGGTTCCACTCCATACTCAAATTAGTACCAGTCTGACCTAGAGAAGCACTCAGTATTCTGACTTTCCAAAACTGACCAGTGTGAAAAGACCGACTTCAGCAAGGAGGTAAAACGATGAGCTCTTTCACCAAATGAGTTGGAATTTGAAAAACAAGATGGAAGCAAAAAGAGACAGTTTTGACAACCTCTGATTTAAAGCTGAGAAGAAATGCAGTGTCTTACCAGGATGGATAATAACACTCCACCAAGAAAAAAGGCTAGAGGGTTTACCTACTGTTTAGAATAAGGACTTGAAGAGATTTTATTTTCCATTTAAATTCATTAGAGTCTACAGGCTCACAGAACCACCAGAAAGCATAGAAAAGCTTGAATGGTTCTGTTTCTTGCACAACCTATATGGTTATAACCTATGGGTAGTAGGATGCATGCAAAAGAAACAAAACATCAGTAAAAGGGTTTCTTCTAGATTTAATTTGTATGAAATTATTACAAGGCTAAAATAGAATACCAAATTTTTGTAAGAATCCTCTTATTTAACTTCTGAGTCCTAACCAAATGGCTAGCCAGGCAGGGCTAGTTTTGAAATAGCTAAAACCCACCAGTTTTCATAAGAGTTGAATTATTTATGGTGGGAATTTGAATTTGACATTTTATTTAAATTGTTTGTATATTAAACCATATGTGCCAGAGGAAGGAGGTGTGGAAACACTGGGAAAAGTACCAGGAGCTTTTTGTAAATGAATTTCAGACAAAACCCCCCAAAAAGTCAAGGGATAAATGTCTCCTCTTTCCCTATTTCTCCTCCCAAGTTCTAAAAGTTGTACAAGTTCTTTTTGCTCCTGGAACTTTCCTTAATTATGAAGGATTTATGGAATCTTTTGAGTAATATTCTAGTGCTGCTTTTTTTTTTTGGCACAAGGTGAATAACTTACTGTTTGGGTTTTTTTTTTTTGAAGAGTTTTAATTGTGATAGTTTACTTTAAACATGGGCTAATATTTGCGGTGGGGAGAAGGAATGGGGAGAGGAGAGAAAAAAGCCAAAAATAAGAAATTAAATGATCAGGTGTTTGGAATATGAAGACTGGAGTCTTAATCTAATCACTGAACTTAAAGGTTACCTTTGTAAATACTACTTTTTTAAAAATTTTCTGAATCAAAATTGCTACACTTGCACAGATTGTTTCTGTATCATCCAACACTTTAGATAATAGTATCAAAGCAAGCTTTGTTGAGGAGGTTCAGCTACCTTGATGATAATACCTTGTCAGAAAAAAATAATGTTGATATGATCACATGTGAGTATACATGTCAAACATGAGTGGCTCTCTAATTTTTTTTTAATACACATCTGTCTTTCAGTTACATTACCACCAATCCAGAGTATCATATATTAATAGTAAACTAACACAAATTCATGTCAGTGAGTGTACATGGACATTTCCTTATGCTTATCATTTGTATCCAGTAAAATGTTAATGATTGTATTTTTGTGTTTGTATAATTATGCTTTGATTTATTAGCTACTGATTTTCATTTGGAAAAAACTGTAAATAAAACAGTGGACAGGCAATGGATTCTAGCTGCACTTCCAGACACTTCTACAAACAAAAACTTGTAACTTGCCTGTATAAAGTGAATGAACTGTTAAGCAAGACAGTATATGTGATTAAAAACCTCAAGGTCTAGAGATGCTGAAGTGTAATTAGTTTTATTTCTCTGTAAGGTTTTAGTGACACTGGGAGTCTGGCTTCCACTCTGAAACTAGCGAGTGAGATTTGATTAACATCTCTAGTAACTGTAGTAAGTTTTCCATACTTACTACAGCCTCTTCCCTTTCAAAGTATTATGCTTTTGTTTTGGACAAACAGTGCTTAAGCAGTTTTCCTTTATTTCATACTGTGGCAATGAGTTATTTTCCTTAGAACGGCTAAAGCTGTTTTTCAGCTTCTGGTTATCAAGTATGTGAATTAACTGCTTGAGGTTCTGACTCCCACAGACTACATTAATAAGAATATCTTAATAATACAAGTTTTACCATGCTTGATGAAGGACAGAGGCTGGAAGAGGTAGAAATTTGTGCAATATTTTGCTGAAAAGCAAAAATTAACTGGGTGAGAATTCAAAACCAGATATAGTTCATGACATTTGAAGTTGTGTCTTCACTGTTTTTCAGGTATACTCCTTTCTAATAACCCTTAAAGACCCAAGGATATTCTGAGCGATTACCTTTACTCCCTAGATGTGGAGAAATGCATTTTAAAACGCCTAGCTGCTTAGGCATGCTGCATGGTGGTCTGCATTTTTCAGTGGGAAAGAGGCCCCTGGAGAGGCCTCCGGAGGGAATGCAGCACCACGGCAGGCCTTTGATTGTGTTCCTTCGCTTTTCCAGTAGGCTGAACAAACCCGAGGAGCGGCTTGAGTTTATCAAAGCTCACCTTTTGAATGTGTCTTGGAATCTGCAGGGAGTGTCAGAGCACATTGTTCCCTTGTTTAGCTTCTCTCTGAATGCTCCAAAAGAAAGCATGAAGATAAAATATTGCACCAACTGTTACCTGGCTGTGTATCTTTTTTAAAAACATAAAACTGAAAATAGAGAGACTTTCTCCAAACAGAGATGGGGAACAAGAAAGGCTGCAATGATGGGCCTTAATTCTATGATGTACCAGTAAAATAAATCAAGTATAGGAACATGTTTTTGCTAAATATTCAAATGAAGTGGGATGGTTGGCTTAATTGGTGGCATGCTTTTTTTTTTTTTAAAGAAATAGGGCCAGATTGCTTTTTAATAGTATCTGAGCATATTTAAAGTCTCTTGAGGTTTTTGAGTTTTCACCAGACGGGATGAGTGATTTAGAAAAACGATCTGGTAACCTTTGTTCCATTCTGTTCCATCACAGAACAATGGTATTGGTGATGAAGAAATCCACCCAGGGAAAGAGGATGTGATGGATTTATTTAATGAAATGGGAAGGCGGGAGGGAAGGGAGGAGAATGGAGCCTATGCACTTCGTGACTATTTAATTTTTAAAATGACACGTATAATAGCTGGAACCAGCTCTTACCTATGCCTCTCACTTTCATGAATCTGTCCAGCTGGAGTGTGTCTGGATAATGTATATTGCAATGACTGAAACAATTCTGCTTCTGTTTGATGCATGGCACTGCTTTTGTTGTAAACATATGCTAGCCACATATGTCCTGAATAAAGTATAGTGCTATTATTTCAATGAAATAGCCTAAAATGAGCACTTAAAGTTTGTGTGCAGCCTACTGTTCCTTCCTTCACAACATCATATTCTGAATAGCCCTTAAGTTTTTTCAAATTGCATTTTTCAGCTGGTTTAGAAATCTGCAGGGACTTTGAATGAACAACTTCCATTTGACAAAAATCTACACAAGGTGAAGTATTTTGGGCCAGATCCAATGCTGTTATACAGCATTGTATATAAGCTTCTGCTAGTGGCTTCCTTGTTTTCAGCAAGATGAAATCATGTACCCCTAGTCTTTCTCCACAGGTGAAAGGCAGCGTGCATGCTGCTGCTGTATTGTGCTAAGGATAGCCCCCCTTTGTCTACATGGAGACGTGACGTTACTAACATCTCAATAAATGATTTTTCAAATGAACTCAGGACTATTTTGACAAGACATTCCCAGCTTTTAGCCTAATCCCTCAAACATTTAGGGTTTGCCTGTACAATGCAAATACTCTCAAGTTGGCTTGAGACAGTGGCATACTCCCTAATGTCATTAGTTCGGTGTTTCATATGGAGTCATTTCTCCCGAGACAGTAGCTGTTATGCAGCCCGTTGGCTTGTGGAAGGACTCGAGAGAAGGAGCACTTGCAGGGCCTGGCTCTTTGTCATGCATCTTTCCAAGTCAGCATTTCCCTGCACTCAGGTTACATCAGGCTCCGCTGCAGAGCTCACAATGACACCTTGTATCTGAAAGTGAGGACGTATATAAACGTGCATATATTAGAGGCAGTTTGGAGCGATTTGCATCTTGTGTGCATTCAGGCTTTCATAGGGATTTGATTTCCCATACGTGACCGAAGTGATTCACGTAGCAGTCTTTATCATCCAGCAACTTTATTGTAATGGAAACAATTGGGAATGTTTCTTGGTTTTGCATTAAAGATAACTTTGAAATAGGATCTGTCAGCTCTGCCTCTTAGCAGCACAAAGCTCTTCATTACAGAGCGCACATTACATTTTATGCACTGTACAGCTCTACTGTGCCCCAACAGGTGAAGAGGCTAGTTATTTTAAATGCTTCATTTTACCTGCAGCAGTTTAAAGAGCAGCACTAGGCTTTCTGCAATACATGCTTTAAGATGTGGTGTTTTCATCATTATGCAGTAGCCTTGGGAAAGATACTTGATCCTTACTTTGGTTATCAGCCTTCAGTTTTCCAAGTGAAGCCCTCAGCACCCTGCTCATGAATGCGTAATTGCTCTGGTTTGGTCTTCATCAAGATGTCTGGAATGAGTGACCTGGAGCTGAATTAAAAACATCAATTTTATATAGCCCAGCCAAAATCCTAAACTAACAAAATCTCATCTGTGAAGGATCATTCAATTCTCTCTTGAATCCAGTAATGCTCCTTGTGATGTACATGCTACAAATAGATGAATAAAACATTTTCAAGCTTTTCAGAAGCAACCTGAGTCTTTTATGCTTTTGGCTTAGCAGGAGCTATGCTTTAACAACTGATGGGTGTACAATATAAAAATTGAACACGCAGCAGAATTAAATCGTGGTAGCTTGGTTTTGCTGCATAAACTGAATGAACACATTCCACCAAAATCTCTCTTGAATGACCTAGTGTGAAAAGTATTCTTTATGTGGCACAAATTATTAAAGGAAGCAACGCCTCTGTAAAGCAATTGTTCTGTTTCCCTCTTTTCAACAACTCTGACTGAAAACACAGCATGGACTTCTTTCAGATCGCTTAGTGTGCATAGTCTGGACTTAAAGTCTGTGTTCATTACACTGAAATACGTAAACTTCACATGACAAAACCTGTATATTTTTTCTACTGAATTGTATAAAATGCAAATGGTTTTTGAGGGATAAGACTGAACTCTCAGACCGGAGGGATAGATACACCACAGTACAATTACAAATGCATATCGTCTGATTGATTAAACTAGTAGGATTCAAAACTG